GCACAGTGTGCGCAATAAATGCAAACCTTTGCAATGATTCAAACGCTTCCAAAAGACATTTTTTACAGTAATCATAGCAAATCACATCACAAAGTAGTCTTCAGACGAAGCATTCCAGAAATAGCTGCTAGCATAGCTTAGATTCAACATTTGAAAAGCAAAAATTGTGTAATATCAAATAAAAGTGAAAAAGATTAACATATTATAAGTATGGAACAAGCGAAAGTAACTAAATAATATTACTCAAAATGCCATAATGACAGTAATGAGACAGTAATAGAAAAAGAATACTAAAACAATTAAAATAATTAAATATTAAAATGAGTGACTATGCTGAGATATAATTGACAATAATTGAGTAACAGTAAGGATGCAAAAGAAGCGCAATGAGAGCGAGGAAGCACGCATTTAAAAGTGTGCGTGCCATTGGTGACAAATGTATGTAAATTCACAGATAGAAGAATAGTATGCGTGTGGAAGTGATTAGCAGAGGGGGAGACAACTTGCGCATACAGCAACGAAACTGATAACAGTGCAAAATTGTGAAGATGATGTCGCGGATTGACAACAGGTTTTCGTCGCCTTCACCGTTATACTTGCAGTGTTGCAAGGAAATAAGCAGTAGTAGCAGCAAGAAGAGGACACAACTTTACAGCCATACCATTCACTCATTCAGGCATTCATTCAATCATTCATTCACTCTATTAATGAGTACATGTCTTTCCACTGATATCAATTGAAATGATTATTGCAGCAAATTAAATAAATTCCTTAACGAGAAAGATTGCCATCGGCGATTAAATGATAACGAAAGTTGGACTACTATAGGTAGCATCGCACACTAATCGCTCTTACCCTCTGAACCAAAACAGCACAGAGTCCGTCAAGCAATCACTCCATTCCAACTAACTAACCGTTGCAACTAATGACTCAACTATCGTAGGCATAGCTCTTATTATCACTCCGTTTAATCTTTCATTCATTTCTTCGAAACATTTTTTGTCAATCATCATCCAATCACAAAATTTATGACAACTAACAACACAGCTGAGAACTAAAAATTTCACCGTACAAGCGAACTCAATGCTGAATTAACAAATAAGAACAGTTACCAGTGCCTCTCTCCCTCAATATTCGACAGAAAAATGCACAATAATGTTCCACCATACACCCACAATTTGATTTACAAAACCTTTAGTCCACTCCTCTGCACTCACAACCACTCTTCCTCTTAGATTTCAGTCATACTTCGGCGTGCAAACATTTCTCCCAAATGTCTTTCAGTCAGTCAGTCAGTCAGTCAGTC